CCCAATGCATTTGAATTCTCATGCAGAATCCGAGAACATTGCATCGAAATGGAAGTTATAGTAGTCATATTCCTTCATGGAAGTTGGGAAGCGAGGAATGATTGGTTAAGCGATCAAGAGAAATTGCTTTGAAAATATAGCTTTGAGAAAGTGTTTTGTTCGCAGTATGATCAACGATTTAAAAGATGAGTGAATGACATTTGATCAACGTCGGAGTTGAAAGACAGGGGATTCAAAAATGTATTCGGAGGGAATTGAAAAATAGAAACATAGACGACGAACACAGTAACAATGTTGGTTAAAAAAACTCAAGTGGTAATGCACTGGAATGATACTAACTAAAACGTTGATAATAAAATGACCATTGCTTATAATCAAACGACACAGAAACGAACTTATCAACTTGACCATGTACTCTTTTTCATCAGTACCAGCATCGTTTGTTGCGGTGCATTTGAAAGTGTGCACAGCTTTTTTTGCCACTTTTTCGATGAACAACGTTCCATCATCAGCTGAAATTCAATTACAACTTTATTGAATAAGCATTTTGCGTTCAATCTGAACGAATGATGCTCTCAAAATGTTTGACAAAAAATAAGCGACTAAGTATTCGACTGAAATTTGAATTACGCATCTGATAGTGATTTGAATAAGAGGAAAATATGATACTGTAGGAGAAGAATACTAGAAATGGATGGAAGACAAAATTAGCAACTTTTCTTGTGCATCAAGCAAAACAAGAAACCAACAAAGAATTCAAACTTGAAATGCAGTAGAATAAATCGATAGGTGAATTGATGTCTTGCGTAATAAAAACGGTGAAGTTAAAGAATAGTTGATTGAATGAAAAAAGGCAATATTCGTTAGAAATTAGAGGATGCGAATGTACAGAAGTTATGAATAATTTAAAAAAATAAACCAATCGAGAATCGCCCTTTAAGTTCTTCCTCAACTGGTTGATCGTCAATAGTCCATGTGATTTCAGGATACGGGTAGCCACGAGCACCGCATTTCAATGAGAACGGATTATTGATTGGCACCACCGATTCATTCGGCGACGTTGTTACGATTCGCGGTGAAACTCAAATGACAAATGTTGGGCATTTTTTATTGCACTAGTTCGGTAGAGGAGTGTTCAAACACTCAGCTGAACATATCATTCAAACGCATCACTGTAATATGTTCTGAAAATCGCCCCTTTCCAATTCGGTCATTGAAATGCTACAGTTTGATTTCATTTGGGTTGTGTTCAATGAAAGCGATGAATTCCGCACAAGATTTGACTTTGATTCGAATGAGCATTGTGAGCGAATTAAAAACATGAAGCGATGAAGATAAGCGAATGTAAGTTTTTGTTACCAAGAACTTCAAGAGTGAATGCCTGTTGTGTGGTGCCCGCCTCGTTGGTTGCAACACAAACGTAAATTCCGGAATCAGAACTCCTGGTTTCGATAACGGTTAATATCTGAAAATAAACAGATACGAGTAATGAATGATTATAAACAGCAATGTTTTCGCTTCATATTAAACCACACTGACTGCGTTGAAGAGGAAAATATTGTGAAAATTATTTTTTAAAAACAATACTATGCTTTGACGACAATACAGTCAATGTTTGAAATGGAATGAGTGTGAAGAAAATCATGAGTTGGGAATAAAACACAACATACAATAGAATCACAGGAGTATTTCAAATGCAAAATTTGAATGCAGTGATGTGGAAATGACCGTCACTTATCCTTTCCACACACGCAGATCGTGCGTACTAGTTGAAATCTGCAGACTCACCTTATCCTCAGCGATGTACCGCATACCGGTCTCAACACGAACTCCATTCCTCTGCCACGTGATAACCGGTATTGGCTCACCATAAGCATTACAAGTAATTTTTGCCACCTCACCTTCGATTACTTGCTGTGTTCCACCATTCAGAATGATTGGAGCTTCTGAAATCTCAGTGTGCAGCTTTATCGGACGTTTTTGAAATTTTCTTAATATTTCTCCTTACAATTAAATAATTTATTACGCTGAACAGACGCAATGCAAACGGCTTCATTCATACAGTTTAGTTTTCAGTAGTTTATATTTACATGTCCTTCTCTAATGGATTTATGTTCGAAATTGAATGTTTCCGCATGTGCAGTTCAATAGTCAGATCAAACGTATCCGATTCCAATAGCTCCGGTCCTTTTTCAAGGAATGTTGGGCATAATTTGAATGCACATCTTCTCGTTATGTGTTATCTTATGATGAGAATTGAAAAATATCTTACGGACAATTGCGACATTATACAGAAGTTCGTCACGACCAGCCACATTCCTCGCAACACATCGGTATACTCCACGATCTGCCAAGGATATGTTATTGATCTGAAAAACTGATTGCGAGCATGCAATGGCATAGGACAAATTTGCACTGTATTCGTATGATGGCTTAGGACAAATTCATTGTGCTCTTTGTGGTAAGCAATAAAAATCAAATTTGGTGTGCACACAGCGAACAAAACTCTCTTCAGAACATAGCATATCCACATCTACCTGCAAGTAACGACCGTCTTCTCCCATTATCAGGTTACCCGAGCTCTCCTGTACAACCGTACCATTTATGTACCTAAAATTCACAGTAAAATTATTGAGCGATGGTATGAAAGGTGAAGAAAATCAGTGATTGAAGAAGACTAAAATCAAAAAAAGGTATCCATCGATCAGAACAGGCTGTTTGAATCTGAACGAGTGCACAAGCATCATCGTATCCCATCAACATCGACTGATCGAAAATATATCGGCTCAAGAATTTATATTATGGTAATTATAAGTATTTTTAATGGAAAACTAATGTTCCTTCGCAAATTCTGCAATCTAACATAACGAAAAGATGAATAAAAAACAAATGAGATCACCAGTCCAATTCCGGGAATGGCTTCCCACTCGCATCGCAGAGTAACGTAAGTGTTTGTCCGGTTGGCAGCCGTGGGCTCATTTCAACGTTATCGCGACTGATTACTGGTGGTACTATAAGATTCTACTATAAGATATCAGATAAGAACGCTAATATCTACAATTAGTTGATCATTCAAGCTCCTAAATTAATGAATAGGAATAGGTTTCATGAAGTTACCTTCATGACACTACAGAATTGCTTGAAAGTCTGTGTTATTTGCGATTTAGCGCATATCTATATGTGTAGAATCGTAAGAGTGTCCTTCAACTCGCAGTTAGGATCTCTCCATTTAGGACATCAGAAAACTACATTTTTACTTCTGATTAATATTATTTATTTTTCGTACAATTCCTTCGGCATCGTAATGGGACAAAAGCGAGCAAATGAATCAGTGAGGTGAACCAACCCAAAACATCAACATGAATCGATGCCTCAGCACTACCAGCGTCGTTACGCGCCGAACAAGTGTAATCACCAACGTGAGATTGCTTCAAGCGTGGTATGTCAAGACGTGTTCCTTTCAGTGATATCCTCGCACCTGAACACTTTCTTACTGCTAATGTCAAAAGGATATTGACTTTCGCTCTAACTGATCGTTTGAGAGATATGGAAGACTTCATTTCTGAGTAGGTAAAATTTCATGAGGTCTCACTCTGGTTGAAATAAATACGATCTGCAATGCTCACAATCAGTGCATATGATCTATCGAGTTTGCATTGACTTTGAAGACTGCAATATGCAATATTATGATGAAGCAATCGAAAAGGCACAAAATAGGAGTCATTCAAAAAAATGGAACAAAGATAAATGTCTAATGCCACAATGATGTAGAATATAAACCTTCAGCTGACGACATCAAAGGTTGACCAGCCATACTCCACGATAAGGTTGGTTGTGGATTGCCACTTGCATGACAGTGCAATGTGATTGAACTATCCAGTGCTCGTATTGTATTATCCGAGTCGATTTTCACTATGGGGGGTGCTGAAAATAACAGTTTCATCTCTTAAAAGCTCCCACGGCATGCGAATTCGACAGTTAATAATATTTTCAAAGTACTAACTCCAAACATCGAGATTAAACTCAAGTTCCGTTTTTCCTGCATCATTCTCAGCTTCACATGTCCAAATACCGCTGTGTTCTGCTTTTGCACTGATGATTTCAAGTGCTGAAATAAAACTGATCAAATACATCTTATGTTGAATTCTTCGGAGGCACCAATGTCGTTGTACCGAAATTTCTCTACACAATTGGAGCTGCTTTTCATTTGAAACGTGATATTGTTCTGCGGTTGTACTGCGCTTTCGCTTGCAGATTTGGCATAGGAGTGTATCGCTGGTACAGGCAAGATATTAAAAACATACACCGCTCTTCAACGTAACCACATCACGCTTGGGTGAGCAATTCGCATGTAAAGTCACGAAATCACCAGAGACTACTGCTTTTATGGTGTGCACGGCAAAAGTAAGCGGTACTTTCTGATCAAGAGTGATTTTCACTTCTTTGGTGGACTCGATAGGTGATCGTTGCCCAAGAGAACGTGAACCGTTTGAATGTTGGTTGAACATTGAAAGAAGTAGTCAATAACTGATGAACCTTGTCCATTTTCAAGTATTCTTACTGCATCATCCGTATTTCCATTCTCGACTTTTCCATCCTTCAACCACTTGATTATTGGGAATGGATGTCCACTAGCAATGCACCAAATTGTTATCGGTCTCCCGACTGCCACATGTGGATGCGCATCATTTCGTGAGCCATCCACTTTGGGTGCAGCTGAATGAAATTATGTTTTGACTAATCAGTTTTCGTCATATTCACTCTTTTAAGGCTTGTTCAATTGTGGGCAAATTAATAATTTTCATTCGGCTGGTTTATCGTTAAGCTATACGGTGTCAAGAACTTAGTCTTACATGATATTATGNTTCACTCTCGGAGGCATTTTTGAATTATTCGATTCCACTAATGCGTTAAACATCTGATTTATTCTCATCCATTTGTCAAACTTTATTAATGTCTGTGCCAACACTATGATAAACTGTGAAATTATTAATTAAAGTAACGAGTGGGCAGCTGAAAACTCTCTCTTTCCAATATGACTTCACTCAAATATTAGTAAACATGAACAATTCCAGCTCACACATAATATGAAAGTGGAATTCGTATACTCAATTTCATCAACTGTAAGAATGCCGATTCGCGGTTTTAGCGACAAAAATTACGGATGTAAAATTCGACTGCGCAAAATACCACAACTCAAGAACAGTGATATCCATTAATGAATTCAATGTTTTATTATGCACCACATATGAACGATGGGAAAGCATGCGGTTAAGTTGTTGAACATCTTAAACAGCACAAATTCAAGCATAATAACCTGCAGACGTTTCTCAGCTTTGAGAAACGGTCATCGAACAAAATACATTCGATGTGAATGAATGTTAATGTTTCGTTGTTGAAATCAATACAAATCATCACCAAAACAGCAGTTAAATAAGTATTAACATACAATTACACACCACATACCTACAATCACAATA